ATCAATGATTTCCTCATTAAAAACCTCGTTGAAAAACCCATTTGGAACAAAACCGGTCTAAGGAAAAAAGAGTGCAACGCGTGCTTTCAGACCTAAAGGCTTTGAGTTGAAGAATCCATCTTGTTTCTGGTCGAATACATGCAAAGGTTAATTTAGAAATATAAATGAACATGGGGGGGAGGGGGGAGGGTCATACCTTAGCAGTAGTATCGTTTTAGGTACGATACGTTCCAATTGCTCGATAGTTGTTTGCCGTTTATCACACCGAGCTTGTAGGATCCTTTTCTGACGATTTCGAGAACTTGATACGATCCTTCCTAGTTTGGACCCAGTTTCCCTTCATTCGGATTTTGGGTGTTGAGAGTGACCTTCCTTAGCACCAAGTCCCCGATTTTAAAATGTCGAAGATTGGTTCTTCGATTATAGTACCTTTCGATCCGCTATTTTTGGGCGGCCAATCGGACGAGAGCGGCTTCTCATCTTTCGTCCAACAATTCTAGGCTCATATTCATGGTATAGTTATTTGACTCATTTGTTGCATATCGAAACCTGATACTAGGTTCTCTGACCTCAACCGGGATCAGAGCTTCGGCGCCATAAACCAATGAGAATGGCGTTGCTCCGGTACTGGATTTCGATGTTGTGTGGTATGCCCATAGGACCTCAGGTAGTATTTCTCTCCATTTTCCTTTGGCGTCGGTCAATCTCTTCTTAAGATTTTGGATGATGGTTTTGGTGGTCGATTCGGCTTGTCCGTTCCCGCTGGGATGATACAGTGTTAATAGGATCCTTTTGGTCTTGATCCTTTCCCATATCGGTCCAATAATACCCTACTCTGATTACTCTGTGGACCAGCGAATCGGCATTAGAATGGTTTCCACAAGTGCCTTCGTGAATTTTCCGTAGGATGTAATCGGTATCTCCCGATATCAAACATATTGCCAATGGTCCATAGAACGTTCTTCTAAACAGCGTTCCGTCTTCGGACATGGTGAACCGTGCTGCCTTTATGCGCAGAGCTCTCGATTCCTTTAGACCTGATGAAAGCTTCCCGTTCTTGAAGTACTCTATATCTTTGTTTCTCCAATCCCAGGTTAGACTCGTGGAGTTTATCTCGGCATGACCTTCTTCGATCACCGATCTTATGAGTTGTATGATAGTCTCCGAGTTGAGTTCGTCATCTTTAACCAATGAACCTAAGTTTTCAAGGGCGTCGGTCTCGCTGTTCTGTTCTCGGGGTACATGTTGCAAATTCCATTCCTTAAATCGATGTAGAGTCACCTGTAATTTATCTAAGTACCTCTTCATTCGATCTTTTCGGACTTCGAAAATCTCGTTAACTTATTTTACCACGAGGAGGGAATTACACTTAGCCTCTACGACCTCCGCTCCCAAGCTTCTAGCTAGTTCGAGACCTACAATCATGGCCTCATACTCGACCTTATTGTTAGTCAATTTTGTAATTCTGATAGATTTTCTAACTATATTACCTGTGGGCGATTTTAGTACGATGCCTAGTCCGAACCCCTTTGTGTTCGAGGCTCAATCCGTAAAGAGGGTCCAAACTCCCGGATAGGTACCCGATTTTATCAGTAGTTCTCTTTCAATCTCGGGTACGAAGTCCGACGTAAAGTCAACCATGAAGTCCGCTAAGATTTGAGATTTAATAGAGGTTCGGGGTCGATACTCAATATCATACCTGCCAATTTCTATGGCCCATTTGGCCAATCGACCCAAAAGCTCGGGTTTGTGCAAAATACTTCGAAGAGGATAAGTTGTTACAACATGTATCAGATGACATTGGAAATATGGTTTTAGTTTTCTAGAGGCGCTTATTAAAGCAAGCACTAATTTTTTTAAGTGTGGATACCTAGTTTCGGCCTCGCCTAAGGTTCGACTGACATAATAAATAGGGAATTGCGTACCTCGTTCTTCTCGAACCAGGACTCCACTTACCGCTACCTCCGAGACAGCTAAGTACAAGTAAAGTTGTTCGTCCACTTTCGGGGTATGAAGTAGAGGCGGACTCGATAAATACCGCTTCAGTCCCTCCAAAGCCTGTTGGCATTTCAGAGTCCATGCAAAGTTGCTTTTATTCTTAAGTAGTGAGAAAAATCGGTGGCTCCTATATGAGGATCTCGAAATGAATCGTCCTAGGGCGGCTATCCGTCCCGTTAGCCTCTGCACGACCTTCACATTATCTACTATCGTGATGTCCTCGATAGCTTTGATTTTATCGGGGTTGATCTCGATTCCTCGATTGGATACCATGAAACCAAGAAACTTGCCCGAGCCAACCTAACCAGATCTCGGGGTTAAACTTGAATTTAATTCAAAAACTTGCCTGAGTTCAACCCCGACAATCGAGTTCATATTGTACTCCCTCAGTATGTCGAAAGTTTCCTGCAAATGCTTTAAATGGTCCTCTGCTCGCAGGGACTTAACTAACATGTCATCAATATAAACTTTTATTGATTTTCCTATTTGTTTTTCGAACATTCGGTTTACTAGGCGTTGATAAGTTGCACCGGTATTTTTTAGACCGAATGACATTACGTTATAACAGTAGATACCGTACTTAGTGATAAACGAGGTCTTTTCCTGATCCTCCGGGTTCATCTGTATCTGGTTGTACCCGGAGTAGGCATCGAAAAAACTGAGAGTCTCGTGGTCGGCCGTGGCATCGATCATGCGATCGATATTAGGCAAAGGAAAAGAATCCTTAGGGCATGCTTTATTCAGGTCTTTATAATCTATACACATTCTAAGTTTGTTTCCCTTCTTAGGGACTACCATCATATTTGTTAGCAATTCGGGGTATTTTACTTCTCGAATGGATCCTATTTTAAGAAGTTTGATTACCTCGTCCTTGATGAAGGCATGTTTGACCTCGGACTGGAGCCTTTTTTTTTGGCTTTACCGGATGGAATTTCGGATTCAAGCTTAGTCTATGAGTGGTTATTTCCGAAGAGATCCCTGCTATGTCAAGATGAGACCAAGCGAAACAGTTCATGTTAGCTATAAGAAATTGAATAAGCTTTTTTCTGAGCTCGGGATCTAACCTCGTGCCCAGGTATACCTTTCGCTCGGGTAGATATTCGATTAGCATGATTTGCTCCAGTTATTCGACCGTTGATTGGGTAGCGTCGGAATCATCGGGGACCACGAAGGATCGAGGGACCCTATAGTCATCATCTTCGTCATTCTTCTGATTCAACTGCTATTTCGTCACTAAACGTTCAATAACGATGCCACTACAATTAGTGACCTATCTATTTACTTTTTGTGGCAACTAAGGTGCCACTAAAGGTCAATCACATCGCCACTAAAAGTCCAATAAGGCACAATAGAATTAGCGACACCTTTTCTGGCAACTTCAGTCGGCCATTAAAAGTCAATTATGTCACCACTAAAAGTCCCATTAACGGCGCCGGTAGAATTGGTGACCCACCTTTTTTGGCAAGCATAGTCGCCACTAAAATGTCCAATAACGACGCTTGTAGAATTCGCGACCTGCTTTTTGCGGCAAATTTGGTCGCCACTAAATGTCGATTAGGTCGCCACTAAAGGTCGATTTGGTTGCCATTAAAAGCAAATAGGGGCGCCTATAGAATGGAGACCTACAACATTAGTCGCCACAAAGGTTTATTAGGTCGTTACTAAAAGTCCAATAACGGCGCCTGTAGAATTAACGACGTACCTATTTACTTTTGTAGCAACTTTAGTCGTCCTTAAAAGCTAATTATGTCGCCATTAAAAGTCCAATGATGGCGCCAGTCGACCTACCTATTTATGTTTTGTGGCAACTTTAGTCGCCACTAAAAGTCATATATGTCGTCACTAAAAGTCCAATAACGGCCCCGGTAGGATTTGAGACCTACCTATTCTCGGCTATTCGTGTCGGCTTGTTTTTTCGATTTAAAGCGAGTTTTGTAGGTTCAACTAAGCCCGTTATTTTGTCAGCCGTTCTTGAACATGGAGCTAATTGGTAAACAAATAATGAATAAATTCTCTGAGATGTTATTATTCTTTGCCAAATTGAACATTAGTGCATTTTGCGAACCATTTAAGAAAAATCGACATATGCCTTTTTTAAGGTAATCCACTCAAGTGAAACTGCTAATTTCCTGAAAAGATTCAAGGACCTAATGGGAACTAAAGTCAAGTATGTCAATGTCAATTTTTTTTTTAATTCTTGATTTGTTATAACAAATTCCAAAAAGTTGGAAATGAAAATGTTCCATGAGTTAAGAGTCTGTTTGAACTTTGAATGGAAACTAGTCAGAGTCTTATGTCAAGGATGCCAACTTCAGTTTTTTTATTAGTTATAAATCGAGTCAGTTATAAGGTTATTATACGTAATAGTTTTGATGAATATTAACTAGTGATAAAATGATAAGTAACCTATAATGATAGATTAAATTACATTGATACTGTACATGGTCGATATATATAACTTAAATTCAGTTTGATTCTGCTGTGTGCATTGAATTAGAGTCTGTTTGAATGGCAACAAGTTGGGGTCTTAGCCAACTAAACTCCTATTATCTATTTCAATGCACACAATATTATATTTTTGTGTTATATATATCGATAACGTACAGTATATTATTATACACCTCATGAAACAGACATGATATTATTATACATTAATATTATATTTGACAGGACAATGTACAGTATATTACCAAATTGTCCTTGGTCAATAAAAAGGGTCAGAGGAGCCCAAATTTGAAAATCTTTTACACCTCATGAAACAGACAGGATATTATTATACATTAATATTATATTTGATATAACTATGCATACCAAACCCAACTCATATAACCTGCCAAAATTATGTTTTAGAACTTTGTAAACCCATAGATTAATAACTCAATTTGCAGATGATTTGTATAAATAATAGACACAAAGACAAGGAGGAACATGTATACATATAATAATATAATAGACATAACTTTGACTATACTTCTAATAAAGAAACATCCACCTTTTTTCTTAGACAATTCATGTGAAATTTCCAGGGTGTTGAATTCTTTAGTATAGTTAGTTTTGACATAAAGGGGGGAATCCAATGATTCATTTTTAAAGGTAAAAGAGAGAAAACAACAGATTTTCAAGCATCAGGTTCTAAAATGGAACAAAAGACCTTTGAAATAGGCAGCCATGAAACTGATGGTGACATTCAGCTAAAGAAAAAGATAGCCAAGAAATGGTGTGTTGAAGCAAAGAAGGTGTGGCAAATAGCAGGACCAGCTATTTTAAATGCAGTCTCTTTGTTCTCCCTTGAGTTTGTCACAGCTGCCTTTGCTGGAAGATTGGGAGATTTAGAGCTTGCTGCAGTCTCAGAAGTTCATAATGTTATAGCAGGCTTTGTCTATGGTGTCATGGTATGATAATAAGCTCCTCTTTAATTGCTTTTGGACCCTTTGAAATAATCTTCAAATGAAAATTATACTTTCCATCCTGAACTTGTTAATAACATAGACGACAATAGGATCTAGAGTTAGTGGATTCAGAATCATTATGACTTTATTATATCATATGTTCTCATAGTTCGAGCCAAAAAACAATAGGTTCACTTGAACCCACAAAACTCGCTTGCCCTGGAGTCAAACACTCTCTATAACAGCCTTGTCTATAGAGAACATATATTATAACATAGCATGAAAAATTAGTTCCAAAGTAAACTTGGCCGTTTATTGAAGTGTTGCTATTGAGGATGTTTGTTATAGGGAAGTTTGACTGTATCTAAGTTTAACATGATTTGGATCTTTTCATTAAAGATTTCTTTGCATTGTTAACTCTTTGGGTATTAGTTAGGGATGGCAAGTGCTCTGGCAACACTTTGTGGTCAAGCAGTCGGAGCAGGACAGTTCAACATGCTTGGAGTTTACTTGCAGAGGTCATGGATCATTACTGGATTTACGTCTTTGTTGCTCACGCCAATGTTCGTCTTCACCTCGCCAATACTAAAGCTCCTACATCAAGATAAAGACATATCTCATCTTGCAGGAAAATATGCAATTTGGATCATTCCTCAAATGTTTGCATATGCACTCAACTTTCCTATGCAAAAGTTTCTGCAATCTCAGAGTAAAGTTTGGTTCATGGCCATCACTTCAATGGGAGGTTTGGCAGTACATGTATTGCTAAATTGGATTCTTGTAGTAAAGGCAGGGTGGGGCCTTTTTGGTGCTGCAATTGCTGGAAATGTTTCTTGGTGGCTTTTGGACATTGCTCAGTTTATTTACATAATCTCGGGCTATTTTCCCGAGGCATGGACTGGTTTTTCGTGTCTCGCTTTCAAGTCATTGACTAACTTCTTGAAGCTATCACTTGCCTCTGCAATAATGGTGTGGTAAGTTGTGAATGGAACCTCGAAAAGTTTGTACTAGACTTGAGTAATGTTCAACTTGTATCATTTTTTTGATGTGGCTAATTGAATGGTGGCAGTTTAGAGTTTTGGTACTTCACAGCAGTGATTCTGATGGTAGGAGGCTTTAAAAATGCTACAACTTCTGTTGACGCCATATCGATCTGGTTAGTACAATGTTGCTCCATAGTGACTACATTCTTGAGATACAGTCAAACCTCTCTATAACAGTCTCGTTTGTTCCAAAAAACATTTGGTTGTTGTAGCGAAGTGCTGTTATAGAGAACATATATTATAACATAGCATGGAAGTTGGTTCCAAAAGAAGCCTGACTTTTATAGTGAATGGTTGTTGTATAGCGATTCTGTTATAGAAAAGTCTGACTGTACTTTACATCCTTCACCTCTCGGTTTAACAGTTTTTGAGATAACCTCCCATTTCTTGTCTCACAAATTTTGATTCTTGATTTTCTCTTTCACTACCAATCCTATTTGTTAACCAACTGATCTGGATATGGCAGCATCGGCTTGCAACTATGGACACTGACTGTCGCCTATGGTTTCACATCTTCAACCAGGTTAGTTGCCTCACCTTAACAATGCATAGCGGAAGAAGGTCGAATAAACCACAAGAAAAAGAATGAAAACAGTCCAAGAAACATAGTAGGAGTAATGGTTTTAAAGCATGTAACCTTTACACGATTTTCGTTAGCAAAACTAACTCGGATGATAACATTTTTCTGCTTCTATTCAACAAATTTTCCCCCATTTGGTTGGAAATCTACCTTACCCCGAGATTATTCTGGCATTGCAGTGTGAGAGTTTCTAATGAATTAGGAGCTGGAAATCCAAAAGCTGCAAAATTCTCAATTTCAGTCAATGTTTTGATATCAGCAGTAATTGGCCTTGTATTCTCAGCTACAATATTAGCTACCAAAAAAGAGTTTCCAAGATTATTCACAAATGAGCAGCATGTGATAAGGGAGACATCAAAACTAGGCTACATTTCTTGCAGCTATCATGTTTCTTAATGGCATCCAACCTGTTCTACTCGGTACATTTCTCTTTAAATTTTACTGATTGATATACTTTCGTGGTACATGAATATACAAATTTTCTCACAAATCCAGGCAACTAAGTTCACGAAAATAACAACAACAACAACAACATTGCCCGGCATATTCCTACATATAGGGTCTGGGGAGGCTAGTGTGTACGCAAACCTTACCCCTACCTTATGCAGGTAGAGAGGCTATTTCCAGAGACTCTCGGCTCAGGCAAGCACAGTTAGAACAAGTTATAAAGGTCATTTGAACGAGTTATAAAAATGTTTTCTTGTTACTAGACGCCCTAACATTTTATTAGAACCTATGGAAACTACTTATTGTAGCATGTCATGAACTTTTGATCAAATGGGGTCGTTGCAAATAGTTTTGGATTAGCATCATCTCAGGAAAAGGAAAAGGAAAAGGAAAATATTGAACATGGAAAAGTAGATGTAGAGCATAAATATTAATCCAATTTGCAAAATACAGGAGTGGCAGTTGGTGCAGGATGGCAGCTTCAAGTAGCCTTAATTAGCATTGGATGTTATTATGGTTTTGGATTACCAATGGGTGCATTGCTTGGTTACAAGTTCAAATTTGGAGTTGAAGGCATACTTTCAGCTATGCTTGCTGGAAGCTTGCTTCAGACCCTCTCCCAGTTTGTTATCATTGCTCGAACTAGTTGGCACAAACAGGTAATTATGACTTCCTTTTTCATAACGGTGGTATCTGAATCAAAATTTGTGTGCACTTCGACTATTCCACCAGATAACTCCATCAGTTATGATATTAATGTATCAGTAAGAGGAGCCTTGGAGCAACGGTAAAGTTGTCCGTGTGTGACCTATAGGTCACATGTTCGAGCCGTGGAATCAGCTAATGATGCTTGCATCAGGATAGGTTGCCTACGTCATACCCCTTGGTGTGCGGCCCTTCCCGCACCTTGCGTGAACATAGAATGCTTCGTACATCGGGCTCCCTTTTAATGCGGTAGATACGGGCACACTAACTAAGAAATGAAATTATATATTGCAGGCTCTTCAAGCAGAGGAGAGAGTGAGAACATGGGGTGGTGAAGTGGAGAATCAATCAAGTCCTAATATAGGCAAGTCCCTTTCAATCGATTCCTAATTCAATTCAATAAAGGAAACAAACAAGCGAAACTCGATCCTATTTTAACACAAGGGTCAGTGTACATTATTGAAGGTGGCATCTCTGGGCAAGCTCACTCCAATTGTTGCCTTCTTCTCCTATTATAAATCTTTCTACATTGTAATTTATATACATATTGATCAGTCTGTTTATGGACTTTTGAGAGGTTAATATAAGGAAGGGAATCAGCTGAAGTTTGATTCTGCATGTTTGCTTCTTGTCTTGTGTTGGTTTTTTTTATTGCCTAGCAAATGTGGCAAGTTGTGGCTACTTCAACTTCCCATCCTTCTAACATTAAAAAATTGCAGCCCAGTTCACTAAGTTCTTACTATGCGCGGGATCCAAGAAAGGACCAGAATAGAAGGGTCAATTGTACACAGTCTTACCCTGCATTATTACAAGAGACTGTTTCCACAGTTTGAACCCGTGACCTTCTGGTCACATGACAACAACTTTATCAGTTACGCCAAAACTCTCCTTCATTCTTTTGACATTCTTTTTGGTAAATATTGAGGGGTCCATGTACATTACAGTCAATTGTTTTCATTTAGTTTGGCTTTTGAAAATGATATAAGTAATTACTCGTTGGGCTGTAGCCTGTAGTCCATTTGACACTCCTTTCATTTTAAGACGTTTCATAGTATTTGACACCATTCTAATTTTATATAACTTTCATCAACTTTTGAAGTAAAATTTTAAACTATTCACACCTAAACATCGATATTGATGTTTGTTTTCTTTCAACCATTACTTTAATATTTTCTTCTATCACCACCATATTAGATAAGCCGAATTAACATGTTAAACTTTATATTCAATCAAATACCATCATACAAAATAAAATAAATGAAGTATTTAAATATCTCGTGATGAAACTGGCTAATGTCAGTATGTCACACACGTTCATTGAAACACAACTCACAAATGGACAAGTATTGCAAGTATTCAACGACAGTTCAAACCAAGAACTTTGAAATAAATGGTAGAAAAACCAATCTAGTGCAAGTCTAAAGTTGATCCCTAATTAAGCATATTGATGCAAATGCAATTAAAAGACTAATTAAAAGGTTAAAATACTATATGACTATTAGCAATGTGACACTTATCCTGTATAGAATTAAGTTTTATATTAAAATGGTACGGGCTAGCCAGTTTTCGGGTTGATAATTAAAAAATAGCCAGAGTTTGCAAAATTATTGAAAAATAGCCACTATTTTGCTGCAACACGGAAAGTTCCAGCATAATATACTGGAGATTGGTGCACATGTGTATGAACTTCCAGCATATTATGCTGGAACTCCAACACACGGAAAGTGCCAGCATAATATACTGAAGATTGGAGCACCTGTGTATGAACTTCCAGCATATTATGTTGGATCAGTATATTATGCTGGAAGTCCGGTATATTATACTGGAAGTCCGGTATATTATACTGGAACTCCAGTATATTATGTTGCAATATTTTCCGGATTTTGAACAGTGTATTCGTTCAGATTTATCTTTACATAAAAAGTGATTAAATTTTGATTACTTTTGAAACTATGACTATTTTTTAATTACCACTTGTAAATCCGGTTATTTATGAATTTCATCCAAGTTTTATGGAGATGTTTTTTTTCGCGGTGAGATGTGACTCTTGAATCCAAAAGAGTCAACTTTACATGTTTTATTTGGTTAAATAAAAAATTTCAGTTTAACCAACAACAAAAAAAACTATTAGCAACGTGTAAATCGTCCAATATTATTTTTTTCAATCTTTTGCTCAGACAACATCCCAAAAATATATAATATACGTATAATTTATCTGTTATTTTTGAATAGCTCTTGAAAACAAGTTTTTCTGTCCAATATATTTTTAATTCTAGAAGTCAATATTAAACCAAACAAAAGATTATTTTTATAGATAATATTGAATAACTTATTATTTATAAGAGTTGCTATGATATACACTATGTGGTCAGAATTTCCTGACTTTTCCACCTTTACATCCACATGGCTTATACCTGCCAACCGTTTAAACACACAACTACAACAGTTTCTTTTCACTTTAATTTGCTGATTTCCAACGAAATCAAGAATGTCAGCAATGGAACTCCGCTGTCTACAGTCTCTCATCACCAGCAATATACCTCGAAATGGGTTAGCAGAGAAGCCATTTTTGTGTGGACAGCCTCTTACTTTGATTCAGACTAGTAGTAAGAGATACAACCCAAATTCCAACAACTTCAAATGCCTTCGTTTCAGAGCTCAAACTTCAGGTAATGCAATTTTTAGCTTCGAATTTCGTTCAGAAGTCAACTAAATACAGTTTCTAATTAGATTCTAGATTGTTTTTCCTTGTAATTTGTAAATTTGGCTCGACATTCATCTAATCACTGGTAACAGTGGAAAGAAGTGGCATTTAATTGTCAATAATCCTCATTAAATTCAACCAAAAGTTACTGGCAATGCGTCAAACTTGCAAATGGCGGATGGTCTCAATCAGGAAAGTGGTACCTGAATCCGAAGCAGCTTAATGCTTATAGTAGAGTCCTATGTTCTTCCTATAAGGCATGGTAGAAACTCCTCAGTGTATGAACTTCAAATAGATGAATTTTTTGGGATATATGATTGTGCCTTTTCTGAAGGAAGCCTTGACGTAACTGGTAAAAGAAATAATAGTAACTTGGCCCCGGGCATCTACCATTATACCCACAATGATCGGTCATACTATTGCTATCCATGATGGAAAAGAGCATTTGGCTATTTATATAACGGATAGTATGGTAGGCCACAGATTGGGAGCATTTGCACCTACATTAAATAAAGTTGCTGCCATGTGACCAGGAGGTCAAGGGTTTGAGTCGTGTAAACAGCCTCTTGCAGAAATGTAGGGTAAGACTGCGTACAATAGACCCTTGTGGTCCAATCCTTTCCCGGACCCCGCGCATAGCGGGAGCTTAGTGCACCGGACTGCCCTTTTATGATTATGCCTTTTCTGGATGATCTTCTATTAGCTTTTATAAGCATGATTTGGAGAGCTTTTACAGGATGATTTCTGATAGCTGGCCTGTGGAGCCATCTCTAGAAGGAAACAAATTTATTCATTTCTGTATGTTGTGATTTAGATGTACTTAACAAATATGCAACCTTCTAACTGGTGTTATAATTATATGGATATCTGAATGTGCAGCAAAAGTTAGCTCATTGGAACCTGCAAAAGATGTCAAATCAAAAGATGGAAATCTTGTTTTTGTTGCCGGTGCAACCGGTAAAGTTGGTTCTCGGACTGTAAGGTTGTACTTTTTTTTTTACAACATTGACTTTAGATTATATAAATCCAATAAACCTGCTATTAAGTCTGTTTTGCTGAAAGACCAGAATGTTTTCAGGGAGCTTTTGAAATTAGGCTTTAAAGTTCGAGCGGGAGTTCGGAGTGCTCAAAGAGCTCAACCTCTTGTCAAAGTAAAAGTTCTGACTAGTGGAAACATATCAATTTTACTGGTTAACGTGCATCTAGATCCTTTATGACTCATCAAGTGTTCCTTGTTACAGAGTGTTGAGCAGATGAAACTTGAGAATGCTGCGGACGGAGGAGCAAAAGGTAAGATTGATGTGGAAAGGACGACTGGTAACTGGTTATGGTATTAACAGTTTAGAGTAAATGTACTTCTTTGGAAAATCACATGTTACATTTGGTCTTTAGCCCAGCTATAGAGAAGCTTGAAATTGTGGAATGCGATCTGGAGAAAATTGATCGGATTAGGCCTGCACTGGGCAATGCATCAATCGTTATATGTTGCATTGGTGCCAGTGAGAAGGAGATCTTTGATGTTACTGGACCATATCGAATTGATTACCAAGCCACTAAGAACCTTATTGATGCAGGTAAAAAGAGTTCTGATTTTAGTTGTAGACTTCCTCACTACAATGCCAATAAGTTGGTCATACTGTTATAGGAAATGTTATACTAGATAATTTCTCCTCATGTTGTCCTCTTCAATTAGTTCCTATAGAAGCAATTGGTATTGACTAAAATCAGATGTGCTGCCAATAAATTACTCAAACTAACATAGAATGAGTGGCAGAAAGTTGATATCTTTCTCCGTGCAGCAACTGCTGCAAAAGTTGACCACTTTATCTTGCTCACATCTTTGGGAACAAACAAGGTCGGTTTTCCTGCAGCCATTCTCAAGTAAGTCTGGGAGTCTTCTGATTCACATGAGAATCCCCGAAAGATTATTTGGCTTTAAATATGAATATGATTCTCCTTTTTCTTTTGGTATGGAAGTTTGTTTTGGGGAGTCCTTGTTTGGAAAAGGAAAGCAGAGGAGGCACTGCTCGCCAGTGGGCTTCCTTATACTGTGAGTTCTTCTATTTTATGCATTGGAAAGATTACATAAGTGAGGTGATCTGGATTTGTGTGAAATGCAATATGGTGCTTATATTTCCCCTGCTATTTCAGATTGTGAGACCTGGAGGAATGGAACGTCCTACTGATTCTTACAAAGAAACTCATAATATTCTTCTTTCGGAGGAAGATACTTTATTTGGTGGTCAAGTGTCGAACCTTCAGGTTTTTACAAATCTTTATTTGCAACTAGAATTTCTTCAAGCATATACCTCTCTAGTGTAAGTTGATATGTTTTCTGCTATAACAAAATTTGACATGACATGAAAATACATTGCAACTTGAAAATTCAATTGGCTTGTGATGTATAACAGTTTCCATAAATAATTTTCATGTTGAGAATTGCACTAGCTACTGTTTTATATTCTGCTCAGTGAAAAGTTCTTTTTTTTTTTTCTGTGTCAAGTTTCAACTAGAAGTATAGATTGACTGCTAAGGTTAAAATGTTTATTTGTGGTTCAAATTTCACAAGCACAGTAGTCCTACAGGACATAATGAAGAGGACATAACGAATAATCCCATTGGCCAAGTGGGTGACGAGCGATTATGAGTTAAAAACCACATGCATTTGTTATCTCTAGTGTCATCCAATAGCATTTTAACTAGGCTGTTAGGGGGTAGCTCCTCTTATAAGCGGTATTTACTTTCTTGAACATTCATAAGTGGCACGTACGAGATCTATTGACATTACGAAAAGTGGTTGAGGTATTTGCTAAGTCTCACAAATTCTATTTACATAAAGAGCTAGCAATTTTACCGTTAGAAGCTAAGACAACTCTGATTGATTAAATCAGGTGGCAGAACTAATGGCAGTAATGGCAAAAAACCGCAGCCTTTCATATTGTAAAGTGGTTGAAGTAATTGCAGAAACAACAGCACCATTGACCCCCATGGAGGACCTTCTTGCAAAAATTCCTCCCCAACGTGTTGAGGTTTCACCAACCAAGGTAATTTCATTTAGTTCGTCACGGAAAACAGAGAGATGATATTGACCAAATTGGCTTTTATACAAAAATATGATATTGAAGCATTCAATAATCTTTATCAAATGTTACTTCATTTTTCTTATTTTTGAAGGAATCTTCTGTTTTAGACTTATTACACCGATTATTTCTAGGAAACTGGTGATTTACAGAAGCCTGCAGCTTCAAGCAGTATTACGTCTGAGATCCCAAGCACCTCGCTCGAGAAAGAACCTGCTGAAACAAAGTTAAAGGCAGCAGCACCACTCTCTCCATATGCTGTGTAAGCTTGATGATTTATTTATTTTCTATTAGGTTTATGTTTCCTCTTCAAATTAACCTAGATGCTTTTTTCTTTTTCTTTTTCTGGAAGCTATGAAGATCTAAAGCCACCAACATCTCCTACTCCAACCCCTAGCGTCGGGACAGGTTCGACCAAAGAGAGCAAAGCCATGTCAACAGTGGTAGCAAATGATTCACCATCTTCTTCTTCCGAAATTAATTCTTCAGAAAGCTCAATCCCTGACACGGATAGCACAACTCAACGGACAGACAAAAAGAAAACAACTCCTTCCTCTCCTTATATATTGTAAGCTCATTCACAGCCTCCACTTTAATTTTCACTGTTGTTGACTTTATATAAGATGTAAAGACACCCCAGAATCTTTCAAGTAGAATCATCATGGTCCACAGTATTACGGAATTTCAGATTCATGGTGGCAGAATCCGATAGGCACTCAGGAAACACCTCAAATGTGAAAGGATGCTGCGATATCAGTTGATTCAAAAGATATGCTTTGTATTTTCACTCTGTGCTTGTCTCATGCAACCTGATCTAATGCTCATTAAGGAATGCATCTACGCAAAATAAGAAAACATCAGTTGAAGCTTTATCTACTGATGTCACTGAAATCTTACATATCATTACTGTTATTAATGCAGTTATGAAGATCTTAAACCGCCGACATCTCCTACCCCAAATCCTCCCGGTGGTCGCTTAGTAAGTGCACGTGGAGCAGAAGATGGGAAACCCGATACGGTAGCCTCTGTTGTTGTTGATGGTACTTCTGACAAAGCAGAATTGCTGACTGCAAGGCCTTTGTCTCCATACACTGCGTTAAGTCATTCCTCGAGTTAGTCCAACTACTTAAACACCAAGTATAGAGTAGCTTATTTGCTGACTAATTCAATCTTGACAGTTATGAAGATTTAAAGCCACCTATATCTCCGAGTCCAACACCAAGTGGTCCGAAAGCCTCAATATCAACAGAAACTGCACCACAACTTGCTGGAGGCAATGAAATTTCAGCTAGCATCACTACCATTTCCACTGAGAAGGATCCTTCCCATACTGTAGCTTCTTGTCATTCTCCCTACCCTTTGTAAGTAGAGATAGGTCTTCTTTCGACACATTGGACAACTATGATGTCAAATTTCTTCAATTTTTTTCTGTTTCACGCAGAATGGTGGCGCATTCATTTTGTCGGAATTACTTGTCTAGTCTGCTTCTTCCTCAGTTTCTACAGATTGCCGGTTTTCTTCAAGTGGAATTGTCTTTGAACAATCTAATCATTTACTGACTGATTTTTTGTTGCCAGTTATGATGATTTAAAGCCACCAACCTCCCCAACTCCAACACCAAGTGGTACGAAAGCCTCACCAACAGTGGAAGTTACATCACCACTTACTGGAGGCAATGATGTGGTAATCAGTAGTGCTACCAATTCTGCCTGCGGAGATCCTTCAACAAGTTTAGCTTCTTCTCGTTCTCCCTACCCTATGTAAGTAGAGATAGCTTTTAACTTGACAGATTCCACTGCATCAATTTTGATAGTAACAGGATAACAGCTATATCTCCTTCATTTTTTTTCCTATTTCGGGATAAGTGGAAGTTTCTTTTCAATAACTTGACCATATATTTTCAGACTCTGAGTCCAGTTTTTTGATCAGATATTTGTCGTGAAAAGAATAGAAAACAAGATAAAAATGAGTTGAGTAAAATACTCTATGTTGAGTCATGATAATCCCCGTTCTATTGCTTTTCTTGATGTTATTATATGGTCTGACTAATTTAGACTTATCTTATGGCTACACCATGATCAGATACGATAACCTCAAACCCCACCCACCCCATTTTGCCATCACCAAATGCACCAACCGTGTCACAGAAAGACAAGACTCAGCTTCCAATTGTAGAGAAATCAGGGGATGAAAAGCATGCAAATGCTTTAAAACGAACACTCCTTTTAACCTTTTACCGTGCACAAGCCCCGTTAGTTGACTCCTTATGCCTTCTTATTCTTGCCTTTATGTAGTATTTGATACTAGCCTTAAAGGCTAATGATTTATGTTTTAGATATCTTCGATCCTCTTGAAGGATGAAAATATGACATAATCCATGCCATGTTTGTCCTGTCTTTTGCTTCTTTAAGTAGCGCCATCAAACTGAATGTACTGCATTTTCTTGCAATGAACAGGTACGAGGACTTGAAGCCTCCAACTTCTCCAACGCCATCTTTCAAGAAAATGTGAAGGACTTGAATCTTGTTCTGTTTTGCTTCAAGGAATAAATAACTAGTTGTATCTCGGCAAGCCTATCGTGCAATGCATCAACTCAGCATTACAGTTAGAGCAATTTTTTATGTCTGTATTTTGTTCTTTCCCTTGTATTTAACTTGTTGGTGCCACTTGTATTCTGTCGACTGTTTAAGTTCATTAGCATTCAGATTGCTATTGTATAAAATGAGACCACATTTCCCTTCTTTATATGTGAAAAAGGAAAGGAAAATTTCCAATTTTGAACAAAAGAAATGCTAATTTAAGGCCAAAGGATGTGGACAATCACCTTTTGGGAATAGTGATTTTGATGGAGGGTTTAGGATGGGTTGGAGACATGGACAGTGATATTTGGTTGATAATAATAAGTAATGGAACTATCAAAAGATGTGTTGGTGAGATTAATGTCTGAAACTCACACTTGTATTTGGTTTTACTTTTATTGAAACTCAAAGTAGTGGGTTACAATGGAGGGAAAAGCTCACTAAAGTTTGACCCAAAAAAAAAAGGAAATATAAAAACGCTAGAAGGAGGGGTTGAACCTCCGACCTTGTGGTTAACAGCCACACGCTCTAACCAACTGAGCTATTCCAGCTTTGTTGTAAGGGCTGAGACTATAATAATTTAAAATATTCTTATCATGATAAAACTTATACGATTTGGCTAACTTTATTGACTTGTCCAAAAATGGTAGGGGTGTCAAATGGGCGGGCTAATTTTGGGCGGGTTAAAATGGATTGAGTCAATAAATGGGAACTTGGACTGAGATGAGTTGGGTAGTTGGGCTAAAATTTGGGTCATTGCCCAACTCTTACCAAACTTTAATTAATGTGAATTTTTTTTATCAATTGTTTAATTATCAAATACTCCCCCGTTCCAGTTTATGTGAACCTATTTCCTTTTTCCTCCGTTCCAAAAAGAATGACCCCTTTCTAAATTTGGAAATAATTTAGCTTAAACTTCCAATTCTATCCTTAATGAGAAGCTCTTATAATCACACAAATACTCTGAGCCCCATTTTGACTTGTTTAGGACCACAAATTCCAGAAGTCTTCATTTTTTTAAATTTTGTGCCCAGTCAAACAGGTTCACATAAATTGGAACAGAGGGTGTAAGACTTTTCTTTTGTTATGGTCATATATAACATATCAAACAAAAAAATTTATTTTTAAAGATATTTTAACAAAGTTATTCATGGAATTTGGACTAAAAATCAGCCCAACTTTAGATGTGTTGGTATGGGTTGAATAAAAATGAGTTGAATTCAATAAATGGACATGTCAATGATCAGCCCAACCTTGGACGGGTTGGGTAGGTCAAATGGGTCAGGCTCAAATTGACACCCCTAAAAAATGGAGTAAAATGTAAGGAATGTTGTAAAATTAAATAATACTTATTACCGATGCCATACAAATGGATAAGTCGCTATTCGTATTAACTAGTGTTAGATATTATATCTCTTGGATAAGAACAATGATAAGTTGGTAATTAAGACCTCTTAGACAAGTATAAACTCAATCATTATACAATACACCTAGCTCTCGTTCATTACTATAAAGAGTGTAACTAATATCCACCGATGGCATAAACTCGTTTTTACACTGTTAGGTATTTTAAAGCCTATTACAAGTAAGTTCTAAAATGTTTTTATTTTCTTAATATTTAAATTATAAATAAGGAAATTAGTTGTAGAAGATAACTTGGACTCTACATTTTTTCTACCTAAATAATAATATTTTTACCAAAAGTACGAAGGATTCCACGTCTTCTCCATTTTTATCGATCATTGTTGTGTTTACATTTTCTGGTTCTTCAACGCCATTGAAACAATAATGAGCATCCCATTGAATCAATCTCCACCTTTATTATATATGGAATTCTTTACATACTAAGGTGTTTCTTTATTTTCATTTCCAGATTTTAGAGATTGATGGAGAATTCTTTTTAACCAGCTAATCTAACATAAGAATTCATTATATGCAGTAATTCTTTATTCTAACGATTAAGCGATTAATTATCAGAAGTAATATGATAAACTAAATAGCCACTAAAAATTGGAACGCACTGTAATCTTCATTGTCGTATACTAGCTAGTTCTAAATTTGGACCCAAAACAGGAAAAAATGGCAAGAAAAATAAGGAAACAACAAATCAGGAGCAAAACATACTACAAGTGCTCTTCATATTAGAAATGGTAATCTCATTTTACAAAAGCTATAATACTCACGTAATTTGCACTCTATCAGAAGAATGATCAAGTGAAATTCAATTATTTACTCTATAGTTTTGATATTAGTCAAACAAACAGTATTACAGTAGTCAAGTTTCAGAGACCCTCATGTTCTTCCATATTATTCCCCATCACTGATCGCATGCCAGCTGGCGCAAAATCATCGTGAATGACGTCACACACCCCACCGTTTCCAGTAACATCACAGTGTGTGCGTGACTGTTCCATCTGAGCAAAGGCTTTCTGATCAGCTGTGTGATGATGCATGTGAGGAAATGGAACCGACACTCCATGAACCACAATCCTACTGTTATGCAGCAGATCAAAACTCACAATCCTCACGTAATTAACTTTCATCGGAGCTAACACGCCTCCTCCGCCAGCAGTAGTTACGACCAATTTTTCCTCACCGTCCAACGTCAGCAACACTGTCCCCGCCGGCAAACTCACCATTTCCCCAGCCATAATCCTCCGATTTGGCACAACGTGAAACCTAAAATTCGAGAGATACGCATGTCCTCCACTAGCAAAAATCGACACATCGTCTAAAGCAAACACCGTCATCGCCTTGAGCTCGGAAAGCTCAGCGTACTTCACTCTCAGCGCCAGTGCTACAATACTGTAACCGCTGTTACGCAACCTGATAATGGCGTCCTTTAGCATGAAGCGCATGATAGAGAAAGGCGACGCAGAGGACACTGTAGACACCGAATTAGGAATAGGAAACGAATCAAATGACAGAGAACTCATTCTCTCCACATTACAGGAAAGCGGAGAGAGGTGCGATACAAAGCCACGTAAGCCATGCACAAGGATCAAGCCATTATTGAACAGATCCGGCTGAGTGACTTCAACGCCGTTGATGAAAATCTTCGCGTCACGAGTAGTAGTGGAGAAAGTGACAGTGAGGCAACGATTCGGAGCTAGGGTTTCGAGTTTAGTACCGAAGGCTAAAGTACGGAGGAAGTGAAGAGGGTAAAGGCCAGGAACAGAGTGTTCCTGAAGGAGAAGAGGGAGGGAACAAGTAGGGCAAGTGATGAGAGAAGAGTCGGCGGGAGCGAAGACGGTGATTGGAGTGGTGGTGGTGGTGAGATTTGCGGCGGTTGCTGCAGTGGAGAGCTGCTGGAATCCGAGAGAAGAGAGAACGGTTGCGAAGAGAGAAGTGTGGTCGTGAGGAGATATCATCGGAGATGGAGTTAGCGGTGGAATTGAGTCGGGGAAAGTGGCGGATGCGGCGGAGATGAACAGAGAAATGAGAATCAGAAGGAGATTTTGAGTGATCGCCATTGTTGTTGCTTGAGAGTGTGTGTGTGTGTGTGAAAAAGATGAATCGAGAAGAGTGAGTGGTATATGTGTGAAGGGGGTCTCGGCATGTGTATATATAACTGCAATTTCTCAGGGCGGGATATCCAATTCTGTTGGAAAAGTCGGTTGTGAGATTCCTCCCCTGAATTGACAGGTTTGCCCTTACGTTTAGATATTTACTTAGATCACTTAAAAGCAATAGCAAGTATAAGTGATTTTGTAAAGCATGTGTTGGTAATTTGGATGATTGTTAAGCATTATCGTATCGTACTGTACTGTATTGTATTATATTGTATTATTTGATAAATATAATATTTGAATAGATTGTGTTGTTTGCCATTATTTCATAATATCACGTACCAGCAATATGAAGAATAAACTTGCAATATTATAAAGAACAATTATAATACATGATAAAATTATTATATAAAAAGATAGGGTAAATAATAAAATAAAATTATTTAATAATAATAAAGGGTGAGATTTAGAGAAAAAGACAAGATAATAATGCGACCACACCAAATCGATAATTACATAAAGTGACACATTTCGTCGTTATATAACGACGGATTTAACGATACGATACAATAAAATTTAAGTATCAATCAAAACAAATATCGTATTTAAAGTAAAAATACGATACAATACAATGGGTAACAACCATCCAAACAAGCCGTAAGGGAAAAGGATAAATGTAGTAGCTTTTTATAATCAAGTAAATTACATTGACTGCAAAAATAGATAAGAGTAAAATTCTGACGATCCGACTTCTTATATATAGCTTGGTATATAACTTCTAAAAAGGACCGTTAATTTTTGAACTGGAATTATTTTTTTTTTACCTCAGTGGATTAAGCTTAAATTAACTGTCACTTTCTGAAATCTTCGTTCTAGTCAATACAATGTAATTCTGTTAACTATTTAAGAAACTTCTATTTAAAATCCTTGCAATCCATTTTCGTCCAAGCTGAGTATTACTTATAGTAATTTTACAGTTACTTCTAACCTAACTTGCACCTCCAATTCGTTAATTTAGAGACAAGATATATATTTACAAGATTAGGTCATGACTTAAAAGGTAATTACATACATATATATATATANATTACATGTTAAATTATACTGACAATATAAAATGCTTTACATTATTATATATAACTTAAATCCTATCACTTAAGTCAATCCCTATCATCAAATCCTTAATTACAATCCAAGCTTTATTTGTGCGGGCCAAGGAAATTTTATTCTGTCAATCTTGAGACTCGCAGAAATAATAATCGGAAAAATAAATATTTTTTTTATATAATATATAATATACATAATTTGTGTATATTTTTTTATCTATGTAGCAAGCGAATGTAATTATTTTTGGCCGACTAGCCAAATATGTAACTTCCTTCTTTTGGGATCCAACTCCCCTCTATTTCCTAATCTCTCCATTTCTCCAAGTTCCTATTTGGATTGGAGATATTTGTCCAGCTTAAAAATCAATGGATAAGATTTAATTGAATAAAATAAAGTCCTAACCATAATTAAAATATTTAATTTTTTATTTTATTCATTCGCAAATAATATTGTTTACCCTTAAAATCGGATAACAATTAAATTTGTAAGTGATTTTAATGATATGTGATTTCACTTGGCACAAACTAAGCAATATAAGAATTGAAGTTAGAAATTAACTGTAAAATGAAACAAACCAATGTAACGCATAACTTTGGCCCTCGAACCAACTGAGTATATTATTGAAAAGTAAGTACTGAACAACTGAAAAAGAGAGCTTAAGAGAGAAAACGTAATATATTGCTTTATTATGAGTGTGTCGCCTTACAAAATGATTGGAACCCCCTTTATATAGTAGAGGAGTTCTACATATGGTACAATTCTAAATACAGAAGGAAATCTTCTGATTGGCTAATCAACCGGTCTTGACTTGATATATGCCGAGATCTCCGCCACAATCCTCGCCTGGTCACGGATTTCTCGGCTTTCTGTTATTCGACCTAGCAGGCTTCCTTCAATCTCGCTAGATCCCTATCCTTCTCGGTCTCAACCTTAGCTGGTCTCGATCGATCCCTGAATCACGAGATAGGCAATATTTATTCATGTAACGATCCAATATAACTCGGGATTGAACCTCGGTTTGCCACCCCGGTCTCAATTAACCATACAAAATCGGGCAAGTACGATTTTGACCGTATACAGATAGTCCCCTTATCTTTTGAAGAGTAATGACAAGAAACAATTTGAGCCTTCGATCATGATGTAATCGTCGTGACATAAGCAGTAGAAGTGACAGAAACGTCTCGTCGGTACAGTTTTCCAAGTATTTAATGCGCGTCAGTTGACGGTCGGCCACTACCAGTTTTGAACCGTCGTTGTGAAAACGATAAATAGCCCCCTTCTTCATTATTTCAAACTTTACTTTCAAATCTTTTTCATTCCAATCTCCATAGTTTTTTGCCATCTTCAAAGCTTCCTATCTTCAAATCTTTGAGTTTCTTTGCTTGTTCTTCCTAAAACACCAAATACTTCAGTCTTCATTCTTTTTTGTTCACAAAAACTAAATGGAAAAAACAACTAAAATCGTTCCGCGGAAAGAGGTTACTTCCTCATCTCGTCCGGCCGGCGAGAAACCAGTGGTGGAGCCACACCCTGAAGAACTTATTCTCGGGGTGTGTGTCATAGATTCCAACTTTAAGGTCGAGAAAACCTCATCGGTTCCTGGTCGATGCGAGCCGATATCGAGATATATATGCTCGATACCCAAAAGTCTTCTTGATTTGGTGAAGAAAGATTGCAATTGGGAAAACAAAGAGGTTGTGATACCGGCACCAGAGGAAGCGATCACTACCCACGTGGAAGGGTACCTGAGTGTTTACACTTATCCTTTCATGCTGGGTCCCTTCGATCCGGTCATCGTCGATTTTTGCAAAAAATACCAGGTGACCCTTGGCCAAATTCACCCTTCTTTCTGGAGGATCGTGATACTTCTCCGTTTCTTTGTGAGCAAAATCAACGGGCTTCTCTTCACCCTCGACCACCTCGTAAGATTATATAGCGCTCGACTCTACCGAGGTGGTCTGATAAAGCTTCAATGCCGGGCCACCAAGGCGTTTACCTCGAGTATAGATGAAGACAAAGATCAGGGCTGGATGGGCCGGTTTGTTTGGGTGAAGACCTCGGATCTAATCTCGGCTAAAAGTATGCCATTCCCTGAGAAATGGAATATGAAACGTAAGTATGATCCCGTTTTTAGTTTTTGTTATTTTTACTTCTTCATCTTTTCTTATCAGTGTTTTTCTCGATGCAATCATTGCTTGGATGCCGGGTGCGGTTCCCCACCTTGAGAACTAGGTCAGGAGCCTGGTTTTGACATCAACATACGCCGACCGCGCGTGGTGCGATTTGTCAAAGGGTCAGTGGGAGGCTCGTAATAATGGTAAGCCTTCTTCTTGGCTTGTCGATTTGCCTATCATTCAAGCATTTGTCCTCAAGTATGAGTTTATTTACTTTCTCCTTTTGTAGGTCTCGGAAAGGATGCGGCTATGAGACCCTTGTCCGGTGATGAAGAAGCTTTACCGCCTATCTCGAAATCGGCGATAGTGATTAAGAGAAAAAGGGCCTTAGACTTCGAGGGTCAAAAACCCAAGAAGAGAGCGGCCCGTAAACCCAAGGTAAACACAATCCCACTGACTATGGAGTCAGTCCAAAGACTTAGAGATGAAAAAGAAGAAGAAGAAGAAGTAGGTGGTTCTGGGCTGGTGGCCCGTGTACGAGCTGGCACCAATATTCAGAAAACTTCGGGACCGGTGAGAGCTGATACTACTCCGTCTAGGCTCGATGAGGTCGAGGAGGAGACTCCAGCCCAAATTCCCAAGCCGAGGAGAATCGAAGATGCTTACCTCGGGGCGAAGGGACCGTTAAGGAGGCGATGGATGCTGATGCAGAAACCGGGCTTGAGGCTCGTCAAGACGAAGGCGGCGCCCTAAAAAACCTACTCGGGGAAATAAAGATCAGGGATTCTCCCTCGTTTCCTTCATTTTCCCAGTCAATGATACGTGATGCTCAGGCCGTAGAGACTTATCACTGGGAGGGAACCCATGGAGAGGAAGATCATTTCCGTGGTTATTTTGTTGGGGTAGAAGATGTCGGCGGTTTGAGTGACTTGGAGGCTCCGAAGAAGATCTCGGGCGAGGTGGGAGTTTCTTATCTTTTCAACGAAGCTCAACAGGCCCTGAATCGGGTAAGTTAATTTTCTCTTTGTTAATTTTCATACTTGTATTTTTCTTTCCTTGTATAATTCCTTCTTTCTATTTTTATAGGCCTTTGTGCTTCATCACAAGGTATTTCTCCGATCCCGAGAGGAGTTGAGCTGGTACGAAGCCGAAATCTGAGGGCTTACTAAGGAGAGAGATGCCTTCAAGCTTCTCAGTGAACAGAGAGAAGGAGAAGCAAAAGGACTTCGGGCTGATCTAGAAGCAGCTCGGAGAGAACAAGCCGATTTGTCCGAGCAGGTATAAAGAATCTTCGAAGTTAATGATACTGACTCGGATGTGATGGCTAACAGTTCGGTCCCATAGGTCCAGAAAAAGCTCGATGTGATCAGGCAGCTTCGTGTTGAAGTGGACGCCGTGAAAGCGGAGGCCGAGGAGTGGAAAAAGAACATGGACCGCCTTGCCTTAGAAAAGGAGGCTGCCCGAACTCAACTGGCCTCGGCTCAGACCCAACTCCGAAGCTTGAAAGAGAAGGCCTTGGTGAAAGCTAAGAAAATCGAGGAGTTCCAGTCTCGGTTGGGCTCAGCAACTTCTGATCGAGAGAGACTGGCTACAGAACTTGCAGCGACCAAATTGGAGGTCGAAATAGCCACGGCTAATGCTGATGCAATGGTGGCCGTCTACCGGTCCGATGCTGAAGTTGCTCAGGTTCGAGCAAAGGAGGTTGCCGAGGCTGCTCAGGCTCGAGCAAACTGGGTTGCCGAG